GGTTGCTTTCCTGCTACAGTGGCCGAGTTAAATAGTTGCAGAAGAGACCATGTGGCTTGTAATGCCAAAGCATTTACTCTCTGTCCTTTTGCAGAAAAGGTTTGCTGACGCTTAATTTAGATCAAGGGTTACAGAATCAAATGATTCCAGGATGCAAGCAGGTGAACGTGTGAAGAGGGAACACGTGTGGTGTGCCCATAAAGGAAGTGACAGGAAACTGGAGTGTATGGACTTTTCAAGAGAAGCTAAAAATCCAGGTTTTTTCCCATCAAGTGTGATGATTTTTAAAATTATTTCATATTTTTATTGGGGCATAAGAAAAAATCAATGCAAACACATTTGCAGCCTGGATTCAGCCCAATGACTATCAGTTTCCAAGCCCGGGTTTCAACTTTTAACATCATTCCATATAGGAAAAGCAAATTTAAGTTAGAAATTACGTATGAAAAAAGGATAAGAGTGATAATACATATAATTTCTATTATTTTTTTTACATATTTTACATATACACGTAGATATAATTTAATTTTTTTCTTTATATTTCTGTAGATAGATAGATAGTGGTCCAATTTCTGAAAGTTAAAAATCTAAACTTAAAAGCAATGAAAAAAATGCAGAGATTATGACTTTCAATACTCAAGGTAAAATAAATTATAATAAAATACTAACAAAATAACAAAATGTGCAAATTGTAATATGGTGTGAATACTGTAAAGGAAGAATTCATAATCTTAAATGATCAGTGTTCATGAGCAGATAATTCCCAAAAGAGAGAATATATGAATGGCCAACAAACATATGAGAAATCTTTAGATTCACTAGTAGGCAAAGAAGTGCCAATTTGTACAGATGTCATTTTTCTTATAAAATAAGAAAGGTAAATTTTCATGGTTTTATGTTGCTAGGGGTGTTGTTCTCTCTAATACATTTCTGTTATATTTTAGTATAAATTAATGTAACTTTCTAGACAGAAATTTAGCAAAATATTTTGAGGTTTATTTACATACTTTATTTTCATGTCCTTTGTAAATAAAATTTGGTATAAAATTGTTGAATTTAATTTTGTTAAAAACATGTAATAAAAATTACTAGAAGAAAATACATCATTATTTTAATAATGATTTTCTCTGTGTAATAGATCATTTTCTATTTCTTTATCCATCTTCTGCTTTCTAAATGTTCTATGGGAACCATTAAGTCAGATGTTTTTAAAAGTTAAAAAAAGCTTACTTCGTCTAAGTATGGTGTGAGAGTTTAGTTGCTTTTCCAGTGTTAGCCACCAATGGTGTCCATTATAAAAGTTAATTCATCTTTTTTATCTATGTTCTAACCTATCCTAGCATTCCCTGACCATAGTAGGATGAAACTCACTGTATCACCACACTCCTTACGAGTTTTCCCTGGGAAACATCATTCCATTTCTGTTAATAGTCCCATACTATTTTGTGTCTTTAATTATGTCAGGGACATTATTGCTTTCTATGAAATCTCTGCTTCTCCAATATTATGTTTGAGGCACAGAAACAAAAACTTTGCACAGCACTCTAACATGAACATGATAAATCTCAAATAAATTGCTGCTATTGCTCCAACTCTGTTTTGTGCATATTTAAGCATACGGTCATCAAATATACTAGTTACCTTTTCTAATAGGTAAAAATGGTAACTTTTCTGTCTTATAAAATACTTCACATTGTCCAATATTATTTTTTTCAACTTGTATTTATCTGAATTGTAGGATAGGGCAAAATAAGGTAACACATTACTTTTGAATATTTATTGTATTTTATAATCTTATTTTAACAGTTCCTTGCCTCTCTAACTTTACTGCACCAATGGGAACGGTCCTTTCTCCTGATTACCCAGAAGGGTATGGAAATAATTTAAACTGCATCTGGACAATAATCTCTGATCCAGGGAGTCGGATACACCTTTCTTTTAATGACTTCGATCTGGAATCCCAGTTTGACTTCCTTGCTGTTAAAGATGGTGACTCCCCCGAATCCCCAATTCTTGGAACTTTTACTGGAGCTGAGGTGCCTTCCCACCTTACTAGTAATAGTCATATACTCCGATTGGAATTTCAAGCTGACCATTCAATGTCAGGACGTGGCTTTAACATCACTTATAACAGTAAGTTTATGTTTTCTGTATCATCTATTTCTACAAAGTAGAGCTAGAAAGGAATCACGCACACCAGCT